GTGAAGGTAATTACCTGCCCAGGCACCAGCAGGGGGTGGAGCCTGGGGAGTGCGGTTACAAGCAGAGAGACTGGGGACTTGGGAGGGGAGCTTGGGAGGAAAGGCCGGGCTAGGTGTGGGATAAGATGGGCAGCTGTGAAGGAAGTTGCTGGTGGAAGGACGGAGGCCACGTTAGCATCCATGTGATGTCATCCTCTGCTCACAGCGAGGCCTAAGGGACACTTGCCTTTATGAGAAAAAGGTCACCTGACAGAGCTTGACAGATTCTGGTAATTGCAAGAACTGTGAGAACGGGACAGGCAGCACACAGAAGGCAGGAGGCAGGCCTGCCGGTGTCTCCTCTTGGCTGGGGTGCAGGCTGGGCTGCCTCGGCCTGGGCACCTTCACGTCACCCATAAAGATGACCCTCAGTGAACAGGATCATCGGCACAACGCAGGCCACAGACCAGTGAGGACAAGGACGGGGCTGCACGACCTGGGCCACTGGCCTGCAACGACAGGGCTCTCCTGCAGGGGGAGGCTGCTGGCAGTCTGTCCCGCAGGCACTGGGTGTCTTCTGGGGAGCTGGCAGCGTGGGGTGGCAGATGAGGCCTCCGTGAGACTGGCTGCCTGGGAAGGCAGCCCGCAGCTCCAACCAAACGCAGTTCAGAGGACAAAACAACAGACGGTGGAGAGAACGAGAGTGGAGGGTGTAGGCCCAGGGCCATCCTCCAGGACACCCAGCGTCTCTTCCCAGCCTGGGTTCCCACCCCAGTTTTGTGGGGCAGAAAGAGCAAAACGGCTGGAAGGCAAAAGGTCCTTCCTGGCTTCAGTCTGCAACTTCCTAGCTCTGTGATCTTGGCATGTGACCTCACTGAGCCTGTTTCTTATGGGTGCAAAGGAAATAATAAATATAACTGCCTGGCCTCTGCAAAGGTACAACTGACCCTGAAACAACACGGGTTTGAACTGCACAGGCCTGTGTGTATGTGGGTTTTTTTTCCAATAAACACAGTTGGCCCTCTGTATCCCTGGGTTTCCCATCTGTGGAATCAACCAAACAATGACCGGAAGCAATATTTTCTGTCCACGGTTGGGAATCTGTATATGCGGAGGATCAACTTATGTTATACTCGAATTTCAGACTGCGAGGAGGTTGGTGCACCCCACCTGCTCCCCACCCCCACCTTGTTCAGGGATCAACTGTACTTGTCATTTCTTTCTCAAATGTTTCCAGTTCCAGGAAAGCCACCGTAGGCAGGTCCTGCTGGAGGGGCATCTGTGATGCTGTGTTCCCATGTGTAAAATTAGGAAGTCTCTGTGCGCTCAAGCCAGATGTTCAAAGCTGATTGGGAGGTGGGAGGAGAAGGGGGACCCACCACTTTCCTTATAAAACTGGGGCCACCGAAGTTCAGGAAGCTGAGTGTCTTGCTCAGACAGAAGAGTCAATGCCATATTGTTCATCCCCGTCTCTCTCTCTATGTGCCCTTGAGGGTAAAGTCAAATGGCGCTGGCATCTCAGGGCTGCCTGACCCAGAGGGTCATGACAACCTCCTGCTGTGGCCTCCCACTGGGGGCCAGCCCGAAGCTACCTCCCTGACTGATCAGCTGCAGAGGCTGAGACCCACAGCACCTGCGAGCCTCTGAAGGGAGGTGTGTGCAGCTGTCTGCACAGAGCACATGCTGGGAGGCTCGGCAAGAGGGGCTGGGCAGACGGGGCCGGCTGGGGACCAGTGGGGCAGCCCTTCCAGGTGCTTCAGCCAGGCAAGGTCTGAGGAAGGACATGCGCGGATGATGTAAGAGTGGGGCAGCGGCACCTAGTCAAAGTCTTTCACACCAAACATTTCTTGTAAACTCCACGTAAGGCTTGGAAGGTAAGTTAACTGAGGTCACACAATTAGTTGGCTTGGGGATGATATCTGAACCCAACTTTAACTCCTAAAGCCATGTTCTTTCCCACACTCCACACTGCCTTCCATGAGGTTCAGAGATGAGTAAGTGTCCTGGGGATCTTTCCCAGGATGCTGGAGGGGAGACCCTCATATGTGGTCCCTCTCTCAGAAAGGTCTGCAGATCTGGGCTCAGGGACCAGACCTGGAAGCAGAACAGGCTGGGCCCTTGCTACCGCCTCTCTTGGTCACGGAACCTGGAGCTGTGGCATCACGGTCCGTCCACATGGCTCTGGGGACCCAGCCAGCACTGGGGGTGGTCGGCATCCAGCTTGGGAGCTAGCAGCCCTGGTTTCCTGCCAACACACATTCTCCAAAGTGGTTTCACATCTATTTCACAGAGCTGGCATTACAGAATGCCAGGGGGGAAAACTGGGAGGAGGGAGAAGTGTCAGGTGGGAGCTGTGTGACCAACCCCTACATGAGAAGCAGCCTGAGAGTTTCAATGACCTATCACAGGAGTGAAGACAGACTCTAATAGAATTCTAGGCAAAACTAAATGCTTTGATTCAAGGGCTCGGGACTCGCTGCAGTTCAGACTATCCTGGGACATGAGGAGGACTGGGTGGGAGATGTAATCCTAGAGACATGCTGGTGCGTGGTGGGCAGGGGTCACTCTCGGTGGGATGGGACCCAGGAGTGACTCGCCATGGCCCATGGATAAAGAATAGAGAGGACCTGTAACTCCGGAAGAGAGAACCAAAGAGTCACGTGAACAATGGTCTCAGGGCAGAAACTGAAATCAGAGCGCTCAGGGAGCAGAAGAGGGAGGGGACAGGCCGAGGTTTAGAGTCCAGATGCCTGGCTTGGGCACTCGGGAGCCATGCTTATTTGTTTATTTATCCTGGCACCTGTCCTGTTGCCAGAGCGCTTTGAGACCAGGCACAGTGAAACAAAGTACCTTATGCCTTTCTTTTTCGGGGTGGGAGATGCAGCTGCAAGGAGGGCACTGAGACTCCAAGACTTCAGAGGCTTTGCTCAGTCAACAAATCACCAGCAAATCTTTACGCCTGTGTATTGCCAGGACTCGGCTGAGCACTGAGGATTCAGAGAGGACGGACAAGTTCATGCTCTTTAAGATTTCGTGTTGGGAGAAGGATGCTAGAGCAGCTAAGCAGCTTGGGCCAGTGCAGGAGGAACCTGGGGGTGGGGGCATGGGAAGGGGTGAGTGGTATGAAGGAGGGCAAAGATGCCGCCACATCTCAAGGCTTCATAAAAGAGGTTTTCATAGGTCTAGCCCGAGTAGACGAGTGAGGCTAGAATTTAAAACCCAGGGTTGAGACATTCCCATTCAGCATTGTGGTCCCAGGGAGGGTCACAGAACCTGGCACAGAGCAGGCAGGCAAAAACATTTGCTAAATAAACTAATAAAGTCTGTTAGGACTTCAGTACGCTTCATTTTACGTAATAGATGTGCTTGTGCACGAGCCATAACCAAACATACAAGTCAAATACACCCGGGGAATTTCTGTGCCAAGAAATTCAATAATGGATCCATTTATAAGAAAACGGACCATTTCGTAACGGACAAAAATCCACCCCCTCCACGTTATTGCTCTGGAAAGAGTTCTGTTAGGGTCCACACTTTAATCTGCTTTAGAACACCTGGGAAACTGGTTTAAAGTACTGAATTTGGACCCAATCCTCAGAAATGTCAGAGTTCGTAATCTAAGACTGGACCACCTTCAGGCAAGTCTTCTGAAGCAAGAAGCTGGTCCACGCATCACAATTTGAGAAACAAGGGCTGAGTTCCAGAGAGCAGTTTTTGAAAGCGGGAGATATGACTGAGATATAGATAGCTGTGTCTCTTCCCTTCACCCTGCCTGTCACAAGACAGACAGACAGACATCCATCATTTCTGGAGGAGACAGTCATCTCCAGAAAAGCCCATTTCCTCCTCCACTCTTTGATGTCCTTCACTATCTCTTTCTTGAAAACCTGCCATACTCCATCAGTTTATGGTTCTCCACTTGGGGGCACACTGGGACCTGATGGGGAGCTTCGGAAAGTACTGATGGCTGGCCCCATCCCGGGGCGGTCTGATGTAGTTGGTCCGGGGTATCACCTTCCCATCTCTGTGAATCTAAGGGGCGTCGGGGTTGCACTAACTGCACTGAATCCTACACTCCCCACCCCCGCCCAGAGGTCGATGTCTACGGACACCTCTGCTCTCTCAGAGTCTCCCCATCAGCTGTACCTCCAGTGACTAGGAAGAATCTGGGAAGGAAAGATGAAAGTCATGCAGGACCAGCCTGTGAGGGTGGAGGCTGCAGCCCGAGCATTAAAAGGGGCCCCAGGTGGTCACTGAGTTCACTCCCAGCAGTAGGAAGCCTGTTCATCACCCTCTGATTGCCTTTTCTCCTGTCTCCCTGGAATCCGTAGGTAGGAGACAAAGAGCACTCTAAGGACTACTGGTGGTGCAGGTTGCCGGCAAATTGATTCCCCCCAGTGGTGGGGTGGGCGGAGTGAGCAGTGCCCGTCAAATCTCTCACCTCTGTATTGCCAGGACCATGTGCTGCTTCGAAGAAGCAAAGGGGTAGCTGAGGCTGATGCGGCTGTGGAAATCGACATCGGGTGCCAGACAGGCATTTGCTTAACAAATTGGCTAATTTTAACCTCTGTCTCCCAGACCAAAACTCTTCTGAAGGGAAGAAACAAAAAAGAAAGTGATATTTAACACATTTCTATTTCTGTGCTACACAGTCTCTCTCTGAGGTTGCAAGTTGGAGCCTAATTGATTTCTTAGTCAAAAGAAAAGAAAGGGCAAAAGAGAAAAACAAACAACTGTGAGGCCTCACCTCACTCACGCTGCAATCAAACCTCTCCAGTTCTGTCGACTGCCGAGCTATTTATTTTTTAGGACTGGCCAAGTGACTTGCATAATTTCAGATCCTTTCTAGCACTGATCAGCCTGCTCTGGCCACACAGTTTGCTGATTAATTATTAATCAGAATGAGTTGAAGATGAGTAATCAGCAAGAGTCAGGGCTAATTTGCAAATGTCCCCCAGGAAGGTTATTACTTAAAATACTTGGTGGAGAGGCTCCACCTTAACCTTTGCAATTAGCCACAGGCCATTGTCACTGTTGTGGCAGAGGCAGGTCTCTCCTGCAAACAAACCAACCCCAGGCACCTGCTGCCAGGTGGCTGCCCTGCACTGGGGGCTGTGCAAGCTTCTGTGGGCAGTGGCGGGAGACGGGAAAGGCAGAGAAAAAAGACAAATACGTAAGTAAGCAAGAGAACGTGGGTACTGACAAATGCCTAAAAGTAAAACAGGATGCTGTGATGGAGAGTGAGGGGTGACTTTAGATTGCAAGGACAAAGACGGCCTTTCTAAGGACAGGAAATTTAAGTTGAACTCTGCGTTTCAAAAAGCCTGGGTTTGTTTTGGTGGTGGTGTTGCTTGTGGATTTTTGTTTTTAACTTCGAAGGAAGAGGCTCTTAAGCCCTGGGAGCAGCTAGTGCAGTGGCCCTAGGAGGGAGCCTGCTCAGTCCATCTAAGGGACAGGAGCAAGACGAGCATCGCAGAGGCACACAGAGTGGGCCTGAGCGCTGGAGGGAGGTCAGAGAGGCGGACAGCGACCCGACCATGTGGTCTGGCTGTGGGCTTTTATTGTAAGTGTGATGGAAAGCTGCTGTCAAGCCTTACATTGGGGAGACATGACTTGACATATGAATATCAGTCAGTCCAGTTGCTGTACTATATGGAGAATGAGTTGCAGGAAGGGTGGGAGCGGGGAGACAAGGCCACTGAGCAGCTAGAGATGTTGGTGGCATCGAATGGGTGGAAGCAGCTTCCTCTTGGGAGTGAACAGAAGTGGAGAAGGCTGGGGGAGGAGGAGATTAAGAGGGAGGAGGGAGTGCCCAAGGACACGTGAGTGAATAAAACAGTGCGGTATATACATACGATGGAACATTATTCAGCCACACAAGGGAATTCTGATACATGCCATTATATGGATGGACCCTGAAAACATTATGCTGAGTGAAATAAGCCAAACACAGAGAACAAATACTGCATGATTCCACTTACATGAGGCACCTATGGTAATCAAATTCACAGAGACAGAAGGTAGAGTAGTGGCTACCAGAGGCTGGGAGGGGATGAGGAGTTATTGCTTGACAGGTAAGGAGTGTCAGTTTGGGGGGCTGCAAACAGTCCTGGCGATAAGGGTGGTGTTTGCTGCACAACATAAATGTGCTCAGTACCGCTGAACTGTACACTTAAAAGTGGTTCAAATGGTAACGTGACATTATGTGCATTTTACCACAATTTTTTTAAAAAGTGTGCTCAGAAGATTTCATTTTGAGATTCCTGTTAATATACATGGATCCCCCAAATCCATCAGTGTTGAACATTGAAGTTGAGAGCCACTGGCACACAGATGATACTAAAAGTCAACCTGGGATGGGTTGAGGTCACTTGGAAAGAAGGCAGAAGGGGAAGAGGAGAGTCCCAGGACCCCCGGGGAAGTCCACAGGTAAAAGCAGGACAGAGGTGAGTGGTGGAGTAGACTGAGAAGGAATGACCGTGGGGAGCTAGCTGTGCAGCTTCAAGTTGGTCAAGAGAAGGAGAGTCCAAGAAGGCTAGATGAACAGTGTCACGTATTGCCAAGGGGTCAACTCACATCAAGATAGAGAAGTGACACTGGATTTGGCAACCTGGAGGTCACTGGCAATCTTGGCAAGGTCAGTTATAGTGGTGGGCAGGGCAGAACTGAGAATGGGACCTGTCTCAGCAACTGGTGGTAGCCGAATGGGGCTAAGGAATGGGGCGGGGCATGTATCTGGTGCATGCTGTTTTAATTTTGGTTTTAGATGGTATATATCAGGACATGCTTTTATGTTGTTAACAATGCTCAAGAGAGAATAAAAATGAATGAATGTAAAGAAAGATGAATTTAGTGGGAAGTCTTTGGGGACAATGACATCAGGACCATAAAGCAGGGGGATGATGAACTGGCCTTTGAAAGGAACCAGGACACCTTGTCTGTTGAAACATGAGGCATAGATGAGATATTGGCTCATCAGGCATTTCATCTGCTCACTGCATTTGCTGGTTCTCTTGTGGCTCTGCTGGACCATGTGACTATTAGTGCCCAATGAACTGTGAGTTGGATGTGATGTGTACCATATCTGGGCCACAGCAGTGAAAAGCCCACGCTAGATTCTTCATTCCACGTCCCTGTCATTGTACTGGAGAAGGCCACACACTCCCCATGGTGCAGGTACAAGATGGTGAAACCTCCTTGTGCCCGGATATCCACCTGTATAACTATGTTAATTGGAGCCACTTCCAATGTCCCATCACAGACATGTAGCAGGAGGAAGAAGTAAACCATTGTTGTGTTATGCCATTGAGTTTTAGGGTTAATGAGAGTTCAAAGAAGGAAGTGGAGAGAGCTGAGGCTGGGGTGGCGGGCAAGGGTTAGATCAAAAAGAACCTCTCCTCACCTGTGAAGGGCTGGAACTTTATTCTGTAGGCAATGAAAGATGATTGAAAGCTTTTGCCTGGGGCTTAGTGGGCTAGACCTGCATTTTAATTAAACCATTCTGGTAGCAGTGGGGAGGATGAGTTGGAGAGTGCCAAGAAGCTGGGAGATCAGTAAAGAGGCTATTACAACCCACTAAGAAGGAAAGATGATGGGCTGAGCAGGGGGAGTGGTAGTAAAGATGCAAAGATATGTTATAGGAGGCACATTGGAAGAACTTAGCAATTGATTGAATGTGGCTGGTGAGAGAGCAAGATTAAACAGAGATGACTCCTAGATTTTTGGAGAACTAAGTAGAGGGAGGTGCCATAAACTAAGAAAGGAAACAAACCGACCAATTTAGGAATCAATTATGAATGAAGTTGGGACACGTTGAGCTGGAAATATTGGTGGGATACCTGGGTGGTGTCCAACAAGTAGTTGCCTCTACAGTTGGATGTTCAGTGGAGAGGTGAGGCTAGGGAGCCAGACTTGGGAATGACAAGCAAAAAGGGCATGTCTTAAACCAAGAAAGTGGGTAAATAACCAAGGGATGGGGTATAGAGTGGGTACAGCAGGAAGGCAAGAGCAGACATCACAGGAAACAGAGAAGGATTGGCCAGAGAGGTCCAAGAAGATCAGAGAGAGTAGCATGAGGGCCAAGAGAAAGGAGAGACCCAAAAGGAGAAAATAGCCAACAATGTAGAAGAGTGCAGAAGTGTCCAGTAAGAGGAGACTGTGCTTGGCATTGGGAGTGGCAGTGTTTGGGGTTGGGGATGGTTCTCTGAGGATGATTTTAAAGTGAATGGTTTCAGGGGAAGGCTGGGGTAGGAGACATGGTGAAGCAGGTGAAGAACTAAGGAGGACAGAAGACTGAGAGGCAGCCAGTGTAGACCACCCTTCTAAGAGCTCAGATGAAGACTTCACAGAGATGCTACGTGGAGGAGGAATGGAGGCGTCCCATTCCTCCGTGAAGCCTCCCTGTTTTGTTCAAACCAACCCTGCCCTCCAGCTTCCCAAATGGCGAAATCTGTTGAGTTCAACAGTGATCATCTTGCTATTTCATCAGACTGTTAAATGCGACTTTTCTATGTGAATCCCACTTCCTTGGTGAGTCAGTAGGTGTCACATGCCAGCCACGGAATGAGGAGAAGCTGGGATTAAAAGAAGTATCGCTCAGCGTTAGAACCAAGGACTTAGGTCAGTCTTAGGAAGCCAGAAGAGGTTGTAGGAGCAAGAGGTAGGCAAAACCAGTGTGAAACATGGAACAGGTAAAGCCAAGAGTGAGCAGAACAAATGTTCATGGCCAAGAGTAAAAAATGAAGACCAGGATAGGGGTCTCAAGCATCCTGAATGGACTAAAATCATCCGGGAAGGCAGGTCTTGCCAGAACGAGAGATCTCGGAATGAGGAGCCCAGAACAGCGCTCTCCATCTGTCTTAGTGGTGCCATCAGGCACCTGGCAGCTCCTCGAGAGAAGTTGGGGAGAGCATCTTGTTGTCTGCTGCCCTTCATGGTCCTGGCGTGGGCCCCTGCGCAAATGACACACTTAGTACAAACCTGTTGCATGCAGTCAGACACACGGGGGGCAGGCCAGCTGCCCGGCCTCAGCTTCCCAGGCACAGGACTTTGCCAAACCACAAGCTCTCAGCAGAGCCGCTGTGCGGACAGCGGACAACCAGGCTCACTTCCTACTCCTTCCTGCTGAGGCTTTTGTTCTCTTTCTGAGAACAAGTTCTCACAGGTGGAAGCCAGGAAGCCATGCTGATACTCTGCAGAGTGTACAGGAGTTCCTGCCCGGGCTCTCCAGACATGTTTGTACCAGCCACATGCTAGGACACTAATCCTTTCCTACTGCTCAGCTTCAGAGTTTTAATGCTATTTCCAACTCGGAGAGACAGGGGAGATGAGATTTTAAAGGGCTCATTATTTATGGCCTGGCTCCTGATGGCTACAACAGATGCAATTTCATGGACTCCATCAGAAGAGCTTCTTTGTGATGCGGCAGGGAAGGGGGTGGGGAGCAAGAGCATCAAAAACCCCTAGGAAGGCAGGAGGCTCTGAGTCTTGGCTGGAAGAGATCCCCCCTTTTATCAGTTCAAGGTGCCACTGGGTCCAGCGGCCTCAGTCCTGCACCAATCTCAGCTCACCCTGCCTTGCTCCTGACATTCGAACAGGCTGAAATCCCAGAGGACAGGCGTTCAGCCTATGCCGCTTCCGTGTATGAAGTTTAAGGGCAAATAGGGACATTGTGATATGAGGGCTTTACATGTGAGATTTCCTCGGCCTGAAATGCGGATCCCCCCAAGTGCTTCCCATGGCAACTCTGCTCAATAATCAGATCTCAGATTAAATTCTACACCCTCAGAGAGGCCTTCCTGGCCCCTTTATCTTAATTGGGACCCCATTGCTATTGTTCCCCACCCTGTTCATTTTCTTCATGGCAGTCATCACAAGTGAATGTTACGTTTACTTTGTGGTTATTTTTTAATGTCAGTCCCCCCAAACAGGCCAGAAGCCCCACAAAGGCAGATGTTTGACTGTCTCCTCTGCCATTGTATTCCCAGTGCCAAGCTCAATGTCAGACAATAGAAGCAGTTTGTTTGAATGAATGAATTATAATGGAAAATGTTGGTGATAAAGATAGGAATGGCAAGGCTGGCTGTAACGGTGGAGATACTGCTGAGAGAGATGATGCTGGTGCTGATCCTGAAGATGACTTCTCAAGGCCCTGCCAGAGTATTTACCTGAACGCCAAACTTTTCGGGCATACCTACTGATTTCTCTGACTATCTCTACCACCTTATCTGAAAGACTGTGTATCAATAATCAAGGGAACCTGTGTTCCTGCATCTAGGCACCCTGCCTAGACCTTGCTGTGACCTTGACTTCTCTCCTTGTGCTCTTTCTGTCCTGGGGCGGCCAGTGAGTGCACTGTCCCCCACTCTACCCCAGCCCGGCTCCTTCCTCTGTTTGATAAAAGACTCTACCGCAGTCGTTCACACAGAAACTTGGAAATCATCCCAGATTCCTTCCCTGCCTTTGCCCCTCCTTCCCAATACAGCCCCCAGAGCAGCTGATTCTGCCCAAGATGTTTTTTTGATGTCACCCCCTCCGCTCCATCCCTTCACAGCTGCCACAGTTCAAGGCCAGATTAGCTCTTGCCTGAGTGGTCACAGAAAAGTTTTACAGCTGGTTTCTCAGTCTTCTATTTTGACCCAATTAAAATTCAGAGGGATTATGTTACTTCTCTGCTTAAAACATTTCAATAGCTTCCTAAAGTCTATGGAATCCTCTCCCCACTTATGAACAGGGGAACAGGTTTCTCCATGACCCATGCTCTTCCTGTGCTCATTTCAGGCCTCACATCCTGCCCTTATGCTCTTCACCCTGAACCCCACGTGCAGTGAGTTCTTCAAACACAGGGAGGCTCTTTTCTGCTCCATGCCAGTGGCAGGCTCTTATTCACCACCCCCAGTTCAACTCAAAAGTCACCTCGTTTGGGACTCATTTATCTGGGTCCCCCCTTCCATCATGCCAGGAAGACTGATAATTTTTTTCAGAGGACATCCTTTGCTTTTTTTCTCCCAGTGACCCAGTTTTCCTTTGGTGAACCAACCCCCCTTCACTCCTGGGCATTAGGTTTGGCCAGGGCAGATAGCCACATGGCCTGGGCCTGGCCCATGAGAATAGCCTCTGGCTACATTGGTATTGAGGGCTGGGCCCATGACTCAATTTAGTCCAATGAAAATTTATCTGGGGGCTTTTGCAGGGACCACTAGGTAAGAGAATGGTTTTTTCCTTTTGGGATTGCTAAACCAGTAGGATGGAGGGAGCTGATGGTGGTCACCATTGCTACCACATGGGGAAAACCTGCCTGGAAATGAAGCCAGCACACAGGACAGCAAAGCCGAGAGAGAGAGAGAGAGAGAGAGAGAGAGAGAGAGAGAGAGAGAGAGAGAGAGAGAGTGTCAGATGACATTAGCTGCACACCTGGATCCAGCGGTGCCTGAAGGCAACCCTAGACTTTCCAGTTACAGAAGCTGACACATTCTCTTTTGAGTCTGAGTCAGCTGGAGGTGATTTCCTCTTTCTTGAACCACAAGAATCCTAGCTACTACATTTCCCTTTTCAGTCCCAATGGGAACTTCTTTATGCCTCTTAGAAAGCACCGAGCACAAGACACTGTAAAGCAGTTCATTATATTCTGCCCTTTCGCCCTGTGAGCATCAGGGTCCAGGATGGTGCGTGGCTATTACATGAACATCTGTGGAGTGAATACGTAACTACCTGGGAACGGGACTGAGTCTTTGTCTCCTTAGCACCTAGGAGAGCTTAGTTCACGGCAGTCTCTCAATAAATGATTACTGAAAATAAATAGGGGACAAGTAACGAAGAACGTGGATGATCTAAACCAATGGTTTGATAAAGTATATGTGAATGAAAAAAATAAGTGAATAGTTGTTATTAACAAATCCCCACTGGCGTGCTTTTCTTACTCTAATTACATCCGAATCTAATGGCTCCTGATGAAATATCTAGTTAAAAGTCACTGAGATCAAATGGTTCTAGCTGCTCCAATTCCATGTGCAAAATGCTTAATAATTAAAATGAGGAGAAAGAGTGTTGCTTGCAAAATTCTCGAAATGAATGTCTTCTGTAAGGTGCCCCCGCCTATAAAAACAAAAGCAAGCAAATGAAGGGGAACAAAGTATAGAAACCCCACAGAGCTGGATCCAGAGAAGAGATTGAGGCTGCTTTCTAGGGAGATTCTCTTTCCAAAAGCAGCGAAAGTCTGCTGGGTGGCCTCTGCGGGCAGGACCAGGGAAATCCAGAGAGCGGAGAGGACCTCTCTTCATCTCCAGGTGGAGGGGCAGCCGAGGCATAGCTGGCAGAGCCCTGGTTGTGGTCATGGTGTGGGGAGGGCATCGTGGAGAGAATCTGCCCTAGAGAATCCTGGGCCCACTGCTTGCACCTGTGTCTGAGGGACCAGGGGAGCTCCCACTTTGGTCAACAGGTCCTGTCAGCAGCCCTAGAATGATGCCCTCCCGGGCCATCATCTCACACAGGACATGGTACCTTCAAGGCCTGTCTCAGATGCGGTGTCCCTCTGTCTTGAGGCCCTGGTCTCGGCCCTAGGACAGTGTCCTGTTCTGAAAACCTGGAGAGGGCTCTCCTTCCTTTTCCTACTTTAAATGTTTGGTGGGGGCAGGCTGGTCACACACGGGTCTGTGGAGGCTCGGTTCGGGGGTATGGGACACAGAGAAATGGGCAGACGGACTGCAAATGACCAAAGTGAAACAAATAAAGAATGAAGATCAAAGTGAAGGAGGCAAGGAGGACAGGCCAGGCATCACTGGCAGGGACTGACTCACAGAGGTGGCGAGGGAGATGGGTGTGGTGGGAAGGACTCTGAACCCCCTGTACCATATGCACCCCCACAGACAAGCAAAAGCACTTCCACTGGCCCCCAGGACAAGTGTGGCTGCTTGGCCTGCCCACCCTGCTTTGGGAAGAAACTGACACTGGAGGGAGGAGAGAAATAGCAAAAGAAAAGGAGGAAGGGAGGAAGGGAGGGAGAGAGGGAGAAAGGGAGAAAGAAAGGGAGGGAGGGAGGGAGGGAGGGAGGAGCAACTGAGCTCTGCAGCCTCACGGACCAGAGACAGTGAGGGGTCCCAGACTGAGATGTCCTCCCCTCTTTGTCTTGGATAGTGGTCTCCTTGAATGTCTCTCCATATTCTTGGCCCCTTCTCCCCTACTGCATGGGCCCCCCAGGGCAGGGGCTGTGCCTGACTCCCAGAGGAGTCTCCCCCCAGCACCTAGCCCTGCACAGAGCATCCAGTGCAGGCTGAATGAGCTGAATCTTCTGTTTTCCTAACAAAGCAGCCAACTGGCCACTCTGGCGTGGGTCCAGGAAGAGAAGGGACGATGCTGCCCACTGTGTGCTCACAGAGTGCAACTCTGAGAAGACAGTTTCAACAAAGTCACTGTCCCTTCTGACCTCTGAACCAGTGTCCTCTAGTCTGGCTCAGGGGCCCTCTACCAGTCCACCTCACATCCATTTATAGGTAGTTCCCTTGGGGGCTGAGTCAGAGTGACCGGACCGTGCCCTGCTGATGGTTTGATGCTGCTGGGCTGGCAGGCTGGGCAGTGGGTCTCAGTGGAGGCCCCGGGAACAGGGCGGATGAGGTTCTGAGTTGCTGGAGATGCCTCATCTTACCCTTTTCTCCTCCGAGAGCAAGTCCCTGGCTCTGGTCCCCACCCCAGGAGTGTTATGCCATACTTACCATGAGCCAGGTAAGCAGTGTGGGTGTTTGGCCCTTTTAACATGCTTTATGGGTTGGAACGATGAGCCCATTTCTCAAATGTGGTAACTGAAGCTCAGAAAAGCTAGTAACTATCCCGAGATCACACAATTATTAAGAGGTAGACCTGGGTTTTGAGCTCAAGTCCATCTGACTCCCAAGCTGGCTCTCTCCCTAGTTAGGTACCAAGACCCAGGCTCAATGCCTAACACTGGAGGGACTATGTGGACCACGCCCTGTTCTCAGAGAGGATGTCTGACTTTCTCTTCTTCCTTAGATCCCAGAGGATTCTGGAGAGACTCAAATGGAGAGTGTCGGGCACGAAGCAGAGGAAGGGGAGGAGAGATTCTGGGTCTAATGGCTTCTCACTGGACTGCCTTTCATTGATTTTTTTCCACGGTGGAGAGGCTGGCTCTGTAATGGACTGGCAATCACAGTAACACGATCCTGATGCCCTCCAGAGACCGCTAGGTTCCAGATGCCCAGAACTCTGGGTTTAAATGGAGTTCTCTGCATCCCTCAGTCCCAGCCCTCTGAAAAGTCTAGAGGCCTCACAAGGAATAAGGTATTTTCCTAGAATCTGAGGGGAATGATGGGGCTCCTCAAAGGTCATAGCCAACTGAATGGGTCAGAGCAGAACAAAGACCCACCACCCCTCCAAGGGTCAGTGAGAGGAAACCGGGCCCCTGAACTGAGTTCAGGGAACAAAGACAGAAGCGCGTGTGTGCAGGGGGTTGACTTGGTGACGAGTGTACGGCAGGGACTTGGAAGGATGTATGTCAGGGCTGATTAGGCTGTGTGTGTGGTGAGGGAATAACACCGAATATACTGTCTGGACTGATAATATTTCTGTCAATCCAAACCCAGCTTTTCGCTCATGATCAATCATTAAAAGAAGCAATTAACTTAAGGGAGAGTAAGTCTAAAACAGGTCTCCAGTCTCTGGGCAGTGGACTGGTACCAGCCCAGATCTGTTAGGAAGCAGGAGATGAGCTAAAATGTAACACATTGGAATCATCCCAAAACCATCCCCCAACCCTGGTCCATGAAAAAATTGCTTCCACGAAACTTGTCGCTAGTGCCAAAAAGGTTGGGGACTGCTGGTCAGAAATACTTGGGAATCTCTGAACACGTCGAGGGCAGGGCTCAGTGCCCACCACCGCAGCCTTTTCCTATGGAAAACACGTGCTGTCTGATTCCCAGAGGCCTGCCGGCGGCCCCGAGACAGGAAGGAGCAGCTGCCCACTGACCGATGCGTATACATCGTGCGGCCGTGCAGTTGCACGCACACCGCTACCTCGGGGAGCTCCTCCAACCCGGCTGCCACCACGTCAGCGCTCGGCTGCCCACGGATTAGATCCTGCCACAGTTCTGGCTTTAAACTCGCCTTTGTTTTATGAAATAATGTTCTGAGTGAGGAGTTGGCAGGTTTTTCTCTAATCCTTACTTGGCAAAATAAAAAATTATCAACCCTATGTTTCCCCAGCTGTTTGGAAATGTTACTGGTCCCTGAAATTCAAACAACCGGAACCCTAATTAAAACTCTCTCGCTGTTACCCCACCTGGGAGAGGAGAGGCTTGTGGAAACTGAGTCAGGACATGCCAGGCCACCTGCCCTTTCCGAATCAGTGGGGACCAACTATCCAGTGAGGGAGGGAGGGGATTTTTTCTCTCAAAGGCCCCTCTGTCTTCTCACTAGGTGAGTTGTTCACATCCATCTTTTCTAACGGGATCTGCTGCCTCGCCGTGCCTTGGTGCAGAACTCGAGAGAACATCCTAAAATCTTAATGTGAGAGGATAAAAGCAGTACACTCATAAACCAGGAGCATTACACTTTCACAAGAATCCAGGGATCCATAAAGGGATGGGCAGGGGAGAGCCCGGGTTCTTTGCACATACGTCCTGCACCTTCCAGTTTATTTATCCGTAAGTGCTGCGCAAGGATAAATCAGAACCAAAAATGCATCCTGCCTGGCAGTGGTGATACCAACCCTGTAAATAATTATAATTTAATCTCACAGCAAAGAGTTCTGAATGACTCCCCTAACGATTTCCTCTGCTTAATTCCTTCCCCACTGAGTGACTTAATAGGAAAAGGAATAGTCTTTCAGACTTGTTTCACTCCAGAAGTTTAGACAACACGTAGGCCCACACCTGGGGAGCAGAAGCTATGGGAGACCGTAGGGTCTGCGGGTAAACAAGCAAGTCCGAGAGGCCTGCGGACTGGAAGGGAGGGCACTGGCCGGGATGCTCCTCTCGGCATCTGTGTATAGAAGTGAAAACTTGGGAACAACCTAACATGAGATCTGACACGTGAAGCACGCACGGTCTGATGAGGGCGTGCCTGCAAAGATAATCCTTCCTATCATCCGAGCTAAGAAGATGGGCTTTCAAGGCAGACTAACCTGGGGTTGAATCCTAGCTCTTCCCTTTCCTAGCTGTGTGACTTCAAGCGTGTCACATAACCTCTCTGGGCCTCATTTTCCTCCTCTGTAAAAGGAAGACAAGTATGTTCTCCACTTCCTAAAATGTTTACAAAGATGAAACGAAATTACAGGTTTAAGAGCTTAGAACCAGCCTGCCACTTGTTGATAATAAATGCTCAATATATTGTATGATATTATCACATCTATTATATTTTATAAGTATACGCAATGATATTGGAAGATTTGCATGATCTAATGCTAAGGTAAAATATATAACTACTGATATACTAAGGTCCTAATTTTGTAATATTAAAATATATTTAAGTAGCCAGCTAGCTTGATCTAGGCAAAGCAAAAAGCCAAAGGAGAATACATAAACATTTTAATACTAGTTGTTCATTTCTCTATATAACTTTTTATATTTTTCCTGTTTTCTATAAGGAACATATGTAATACATTTATAAACCGTAAAACAGGCATTTTACGAAAAGATGCAGGCGGACAGATGGTCTTCAGACGAGGCAAGTCACAGGGGTTGCCATTCAGTGAAGGGTCATCTAGATTTTCACCCCAACTCCCACTCCTGTGTCCAGCAGTTGCCCCCCGACAGAACACCAGCCTCCTCACAGGGATTTATCTTGGGGGCTCACATGTCACATGTGCTTCTCTCAGCACCCGTCCAGGGTGGTCAATGGCCTGGCGAAGCTGACAGACAAGCGTGCGACACCCAGGTCTTCTCACGCCCTCCCTGGTCGGTTTGCCTTCCACTGCACCAGGAAGTTCTCTGGGCTACGCTGGTCCCCAAACGTTAGAGTCCGTATCCGGGAGGGGTCCATTTCCACATGCTCCCTTCCACTCACACGTGGCTCCCACCGCAGGCTTGTCTGATTTTCTCACCCTCAAAGGACCACGTCTCACTCAATTGGTGTTTCTACCACGGCGGCACAAAAGCTGGGATAAAACAGGTGCCCAACAGACGTGCCCCTGCCTGCTGTCTCCTTCCTCTCCCTTCCTTCCTGCACCCCTTCCTCCTCAGCCCCGCTGATCCCTGTGCGTGGCAGTGACCCACTTCCTGCTTCACTCGGAGTCCCCGAGACACACCTTCTGCCGTCGTTGTGGGCACCACGCCCTGCCTTCCCTGATACGGTGTGGCCATGAAGGCTGCAAGGATGCCCATCTTGTCCGAAGCACATCTGGACACACTATTCTACTGACTCCTGATGTGCTGATACAGGTCGCCCCAACACGCGGATAACACAGTGACCAGGACAGCATGAGAGGGCACTCGAAATGCCACACTCTCACCCCAACCAAGCCTTGTTGTCCAAACAGGAAGCTGGACAGTTCCCGAAGGCAACGTCAGACTAAGTACGCCCTGTGGGTCCAGATTTGGAGGACGACGAGCAGCTAAGGCCGGTGAGCCCTCACGGCCCCTCCCCTCCTGAGCCTGTCAGCCTGGAGGGTCCGCATGGTGGCGGAGCACAGCACAGGAGAGCCTGCCTTCCGGTGCGACCAGGGCCACGGCAGCAGATGGGTCCTTCCCTTCAGGAACCCACTGCCTTTCCTGTCTCGACCCCGAGAGTGGGAAAGCAACTGCCACTCAAGGTTCTATTCCCTTTGTTGAGTGCTATGAATGTCTTCCAGAAATGGGACAATATTTCACGTCATTTCACTGAGACCCTGTCGACATCCTAAGACCAGAACATTTCCAGTCTTAATGCAAGTTACTCGACCAAAACCCACCATGAAATTCTTCAGCAAGGACACGCTTCAAATAAGATACCAAAATCACTGTAAAAATTCACCGGGGCTCTAAAAATATGCAGGGACGTCTCACTGTGACGAGAAAGAAACTTCCAGCGGCGGGTACAGAAAGCGGCAAAGGGGCCTTGGGCGATGAGGACACTGCATCCCAGGGAGACGCAGCCACAAGGCACCAGGGAGGGGCAGGGACAGAGCTTACCAGAGGGAGGAGCCTTCGGTCCCAGTGACTTCCAGAAAGTCGTACCCGTCCTCCAGCTGGAAGTCAATGAAGACCAGAGCGATGGTGTCTCCCAGCTCGGCCAGGATGGTCCACGTGCAGTCGGCGTTGTTATGGTACTCCAAGGGGAAGTGGGGGCTGGAGATGATGCCACTCTGGCCCCGCAGGGTCCCTCCACAGGCGTCGTCCGCTGCGGGCAAGAGACAAGAGGCTCCCGTGAGTGGGTCCTGTTTGCAGCGGCTCACTGTGCATTTCACCCACGAGAGGCAGAGAGGATCTTGAAACCTGCATGGACTGGATGGACCAGACCCTAGTCTGGACTGGCCTAATGATAATGAGACCAATGCTTCCATGGGCCTTACCACCTGCCAGGCCCTATTCAGAGAACTTTAGATATTATTGTTCTTCCTGAACAGGTGAAGAAACCGAGGCACAAAGAGGTTAAGTGCCCTGTCTGTGGTCACAGAGCCAGTAAGCTGCGATTTGAAGTCTGCCCATCAGAGCACATGTCGTTCTTAACAACGGCACCACAATGCTCTGTGATGGCCGGGAGGTTGGCAGAGGCGGCAGTTACGGTGATTTCCCCATTCACGACTGTGGTGAATCAGATGATTCTTCCCTCAGGTCTTAGTAAACCTCAGACGCATGGAGCAAAACAAAAACTCAGCTCTGCTCCCCGGGGCAGAAGTCAGAGGGCACCCCAGGCCCATCACAGCCTGGCCAGACCTCTGCCATCGTTCCTCCTGCCCCTTGGCCCCAGGCCAGCTCGGCGCTAGCACCGCGCACACTCAGACCCCCTGCCTGCGCTCACCCATTCCTTCTGCCTGGGGGCCCTTTATCTGGAGTCGCTCTTCTTATGCTCTGAGACCCAGCTCCAATGCCACCTCCCAGGAAAGCCTCGTTTCCCCACGCTTTTAGAAACCGCTCTCTCCTCTGGGCTCCCTTGGCAACGTGTCTGACTTTGGACATGGCCTTCACACTGTCTGAGTGACCTGTTCACACATCTGTCTTCCACTCGGGGATTGAGCTCCGCTGGGAGTCCCCGAGGGCGGGGACAGTGTTTTATGCGTCCCTGCAGCATAGCTGATGTCGTCTCTCCATTCCCAGCTGAAACCTGACATTCGGGAAAAATGACCGGAGGACCATGTGCTCATATATAATAGTTAATAACACTGGCTTCTGAGTTATTTCTGACCTCAGTTTCAGTCCTTCCCCTACTGCTTATGGGCCGGGCCACCTGCCCTCCCAGAGCCTGTATGAAAGGGACTATAATACACGCAGCACGTGCCGCGTTAGAGATACAGACTGAGCCGGAAGAAAAGGAAAAACACAGTATCAGGGTTCACAAGGGGAACAGAGGGGGCGGAGTAATATTAATAAAAGGAATATTTACTGAGTGCTTTTACCATAGCAGGTACTAGTGTAACTACTCGATGTATTTAATACTAATCCTTACTATGACCCTATAAAGTATCATTCCCATTTTACAGGTAAGAACACTAGGGCACAAAGAAATTCACTGATTTGTCAGAGGTGACACAGTTCACAGTGATAAAAGGAGCTGGAGTTCTAAACCCCACAGTCTGATTCCGGGGCTTATGCTCTTAACCAACATACCATTCTGTCTCCTGGGAGTGCAATTCACATTTTGAGGACACAAATAAAGCAACAATTACTTTGCTTGGGTAAGTCAATCTGGGAAAGCTTAATTGGGGAGGTGCTATGAGAGTTGGGTTTTGAAGGATGAATAGGAGGAGTTCACTAGCGAGAGATGAAAGGGAAAGGTATTTAAGAGAAGAGGGAACGAAATATAAGCAAGAAGCATGAAAGCACAAGGCGTGTCTAAGATCAGCAGCTCCAGAAGGCTTATCACAGAGAAGAAAGAGAAGAATGATGGGCCACGGTGCTGAAAATGTAGAAGGAGCAACATGACAGACAGCTCTGGGCCAAAAGGATTTGGACGCAGAGGAGTATGTTGGAAAGAAGATGGATTTCAAGGCCAAGAGCGCTAGATCTGAATCCAGGGTCCACAACTTCCCAGCCATGTGCCCCTGGGTGATT